CGTGTCTTTTTTCAATTTTCACTATCATCGAAATATTTTATTAGACCATAGGCACTGACACCAAAATCATTACATCCTATTCGATAGAACCGTAAGTATATAATTTAGTTCTAAAGTACTGTCATTTTCAGTAATTATAATTCCATGCCCATAAATGACATCATAATTAAAACGACAAACAAAACGAGTCGATCGTAAGTTAAGTTTCGTCCTTTAATTGAATAAATGATTTGATATTTCGGCCGATTGGGCAAAACGGTAATGGGACGGAACGGAACGTAATCATACGTTAATGGATATTTAGCATTTACGCCAATTAAAATGGCATGTCGAACATTGGATATTACGAAAAAGTAGGTACTAAGCTCGCCGTGTTTTATGATTTTGCACTTACATAAGTTGGCTGCAGCTACACGTATTTTACAAAACGTATTTTTTGCTACATTTAAAAATCACTAACATTTACAAGTTTTATGGTTTTGCAATGTAGAGTCAAATAAAATGAATATCAAAGCCTATTTATTTAAAGTTTTTCTCTTCCTCGCTCCGCGGCTTCACCCGCGTGAAATTCAGTTTGTCACAGATCGTCATAAATTATAGCCTATGTTATTCTGAGTTACAAACAATAGTACTGTAAAGTAAGTAGTTTTTGCGTGAAAGAGTAACAAACCTGTTAACATCCAGATATCCACACAAACTTTCGCATTTCTAATATTAGTAGGATTAGCAGGACATAGAACTGTGACCTTGACAATGACACAGTTATACTGATTAAAAGTGATAACATTGATGAAACAAATAAGATAGTAAGTAATGCAATTAATCGTATATTATCTGTTGATCAAAATTCCACTGTATGTTTTTCAATCGACCAATACTAAAATATGAAAATTTGTGCATGTACAATAACACGATAAAATACATTAGCTACGTATTTACAATATCACTATACGAGTAAGTACAATAGATTAAAGATACTTTATTTTATCACTTGTTTTCACCAATAAATCATGCAACTATCATTGCTATAGTACATTTATCGTTCTAAATAAGCTATTGCTACATTTAATTTTAACGTCACTACAGTTATAGTCAAAATATTTCCCCAAAACCTTAACATTTGTCAATAGTAAGTCATTTATAATTATTTTCCCAAAAGCTTAAAAACCATTTGTCAATAGTATGAGTCATTTATTTCTCGGGAGCTTTCAGACTTGAGTTAATTATTTCTTGGAAAGGTAGATCTTTTCTTTATACAAGAAAGTAAGTCGTATTATATTCCTTTTATGGTCTTTCCTTGTCTTATCTAGGTATTTTACTGTCGTGGTCAGGTCAGTTTTAATTTCTAGTGACATTTTAGTTGCATGTAAAATCCCTACTAATATGTAATATAGGTTTATAGTTAAATGCGAAAGTAACTCTGTCTGTCTGTGTCGCTTTCACACCTAAACCACTGAACCGATTTTGATTAAATTTGGTATATTAGAGATGGTTTGAGTCCCGGAATACGACATTTTATGCCGGTTTTAGAAAAAAAATCACGCGGGCGGAGATGCAGGTGGAAAGCTAGTGTATAATAAGTACCTAGGTAAGTATGTTTACTTTAATTTATAGGTGTTATTTTGATGTTAGTTCATCGATAACGTCAGAATCAACAGAAAAACTTGTTTATCATACAAAAATCTTATTAAGCTACTATTTGTCATAACAAGCAATAAAATGTCGATCCGGCAACAAATTGAGGACGTGTGCTGCACCACGTAAACAAATCTGCCCTTATTACGAGAGTCATAGAGGTCACTATCAAAGGTAGCGTATTATCAGCGCGAGTACAATCTCGATCAAGATAAATGTGATAGTTATAATACAGGGTGTCAGAAAAGGTTTTAAAAATAAAAATATTAAAAAAATCTACTTTTGCTATAACCAATTCATAAAATCTCTCTTTTTTATGATCTCTATGTTTCATTATGTATAAGTAACAAAGTTTATATAAATATAGCTATGACATTGCAGCCCCCCGTACTTATTAATGATAAAATTTACATTACAAAAAATATGTAGTTGTAATTGTTGCTTGTTTGAAACAAAATGTATAATGATGTCCTGTCGACTGTTACAGCACTTTTTATATTTATTTGGTAAAAACATTACTTTTAAAGACAATTTGCGAATTTTGTAAGATTTTGTTAAGGGGTTATTTTGCAAAATTATTAGTTTGGCAACAATCATCATACAAAATGCTACAAGGAAAACCTCTAAAGATAACTCGACCATTTCCGGTGGCATGCAGGTCAAAATTGGTTTTACGAACCCAAAACCTGTTTGAAGAAGCCTGCATCCTAATATGGAACTAAGAATTCTTATGAGACCCCATTCATTGCTCGATTTACTCGTTTTATATTTTAAAGTAATTTTTAAATTAATACTTTTGTTTTTATTCGTCGTACCAAACTGAAGAAGACGCTTGTTGTAACTGTAACTTAACACCGGCAAGAAAAAGGATACTCTTTATAATGACACTTAAAATTGCCGATGAAATTTGAATTTTATTTATATCTATTTTTAATAATGCAACTCCAATCTGACCATAGATTTTGCAATATCTTTAATGTTACACACAATTAAGAGACGAAATGCCACAAACTGCATTAATATAATTATTTTACTATATTTAATTTCAGAATTAATTAATTCTGACATAGGTAAGTGTTTAAGTTTATCAAATGTTCACGTAGGTGTACCTACTCTATTTTGCACACGACACAAAACTGCCAAATAATCAAAATTGAAACTGCACAATTTAGGCCGTCTTATCGCTAGGCAGAGAAATTACTAGTGGGCTTTAGATACCACCCTGTATGCATCCATGTAACTCACACAAAACAAACCACGTTCAAAGCACAATGATATAGGAAGTGTTCGGGACAAAACGTGTGGGATCCGTGACAAGTGGGCCACGGGGGGCGTGGGCGACGCTCGATTATAAACTTAATCTTATGAAATACTGCTGGAAGGGAGATTTTTATTGAAATATGGCAGGAGAGATAGTGGTCGACAGGCGATAAGCTTTTGCGGGTGATGTCATTGTAAAAACGTAATGCAGTTCGTGCCAAAATGAAAGAGACATAAAACACCCAGTTATCTATGATGTCTTAAAAAAATTTAGAGTTTGTAGTACCTACTATCGATTCTATCATTCTACATGAATGAAATAAGTGAGATGTATACGCGATCGTCACAATCTCTGTCACTCATCGATTGTCACTATCTCTCTATGAAGCAATGAAGGCAAAAACAACATTCATTACGTCAACTTTATATATTCTTCTTCTTCTTGTCGTGTCGACAACAAACCTACACAGAGTCGGCCCAAAACCCAAGACCCAGACCACAAGAATGGCGTTGTCAGTAGCCTTAATTAAACTTATATTAATACCAAACAACAACTGGATAAACAAACCTAAAACTACTAAAGTAACACAGTGATAAAAATGCTGCCAACAAAAAATATTTTAGCAAAAATTACAAAGAAGCCCTAATCGTAAGTTATTTAGATATTAGCATGTCAACAATCTTGAAGACTGTCAGAAAACTCTTCAAAAATTAACATTTCAACTCCGAGCAACGACCCAAAATACCAAACTTTATAGCCAATTATTGGTTTTCGGCAAGGAATCCCTAATTACAGAAATCGACACTTAAATTTCATTCGTGTTAAATTATAACGATCAAGTCTCGAGAAAACTTTAAAATTCAAATCTTGCTGAACCAATGAAAAGTTCCCGAAATCTTATTGATTCCGAAAGTTCGCGAACAACTTGAGAAACTAATTAAAAGTAAGTCTTGATAATCCCTGTTAAACATACAATATAAATTCAATATCATTGGGATGATTAATTAAACTTTAATCCTCGTAACCTCAATTTAATGCTGAGTTAGCACGTTGTTATCGGTGTAGACCGGTATTCTACTGTTGTATTTTGTAAATAAAAGTGCTATTGTATAATGTCAACACAAAACGGCACAGATAAATTGCAATTAAAAAGCCTTTTTGTTTACTACTCCTAGCTTCCATTATTTACGATGTTTTAGGAATATCCCTCTTACCAGCCAGTCATCTTCATAATTATTACTGAATATCAATAAATACTGCATACTAAATCAGAGTCACCTTCTTGAAAGAACTCAAACAAGACCATCTGGACCAAAATTTTGAACCGCATAACTAAAAAAAGTTAAACCGTGACGTCGTCGACGGTCGTCAGACGACCTTGCGGGTTCGACCTTCCCAGAACTGGCCCAAATAAAACTAATAGGACCGATGTTGATGGACTACCCGCCCGCACTATCGCTTCTGTGCGATCTCGCACCGGTGAAAGGATTATAACCCTAATCACTTAACAAGAGGCTCTAATTCTCCCTGGTGATGCTATCAACGGCCTGGATAAACCTCATTTTAATTTAAGACCTAGGGTACCCTTTGATGTAGACCCAAATGAAAGCCGTTATTTGATAGAATCCATTAAGTCTAATAAATGTGCCAGATTACGAGAGAAGATTTTAAACCTAAATGAAACATTAATTCGGTTCGCAGATTTCGAAACATTTTTGAAGTCTATCCAGACTATAATTACGATTCCAAATACACACTTCGATCATTCTTCATCACTCGAGAGTTTAACAGTATCCAGTGATTTATCGGCCGTGTCTTTAATAAACTTTGAAGATCAGAGAACTTCATCAATCTCGGGCGGCTTTCTATCTTATCCGGTTCGGTTCACGTGTCCCTTCGTATCGGTACAAAATCTTGTAATACGAACAACTGGATAAACATCGACGTTACTGGTACTTCAGGTGGTGTCTATGAGATCGGCCTTATGGCGACGCGATCGGCCTTATGGCGGCATTATCGATGCACTCAGCGATGCGCCGACGAGTGCCACACGTCAGATAACGGTCTCGCTCTGTAGCGTAAATAAATTTTACAATCTCGCTTTATTACATTATCGAGCGATCGCTAGGGCCGCGCGCCCACACGAGCGTGTCGGCGCGCCCGTCAAAATCACGACCTACTCAAACGAAATCCCCGCGTAAAAACGAGAAGAAATTTCATACAAAGGTAGGTTTAATTTATCGGCGAGTCACGACAACTCGATCGAGCCGTCGTCGGATTTGTCGGGTGCAGTGTTCGAGACTCGAGTCTTGGAGAGTCGCGGGGGAAGGGTGCTACCGCGCCGCGCGACGCTCCCGCGGCCGCCCGATGCCGCGCTCTTTCTTCAGTCTGTCGCTCGCACGACGCCGCACCAGACGTCTGGGCCGCACGCTCGACAACTCGCGCTTCGACTAACTTGTGATCAAACTTAGTGCAAGTTTCAAGTGGATCGGATGATTGCAGTGTTGTGACGTTCGACAATGAAAGTGTGTTAAGTGCTAAAACTAATTTCTGGAAACTCGTGCCGATGGTCCTCTTGAATACTAACATGAAAATTAATGGTAAAGTCCTCACATGTTTGCATGATTGGATTTGTTCGTTGTCTCTTGGTATGCTATCTATGTGGATGATCTGATGATCTTGGCTTGCACGGCGACAGATACAGTGGTAAGGTCGGAAGTTCGAGACATATTAATTCAGATATTTAAATCGTACCATTTGGACCACCGAAACCGCCAAAACAATGGTGGACCTTGCGTCTGTCAGACGACATTGAATCTCCGAATGTAAATTTGAGACGGTTCGAACAATGAACAGTGAGTTTAGAAGTCGATTTGAATAGAGCTTGTGTGTGTGACCCTGCTGCGCCTACGGGACCCGCCGCTGTGGGTGGACGGCATAGTTCCAAACGCCTAGAGTACACCAGTGGGTGTTTGAATGGAGCCAGTTAATAATAATGGTGAGATTTAATCACCGCCATAGAGGTTACACAACAAAGCTATAAGCATGCCTATGGCTCGAAATGTAGAAGACAAACCCTTGAAATAACAATCAGAACTGACTAACAAATGCTTACAAGAAGTATTATACCGGCTTGTAGTTAAGTAGGTACTAATCATTAATACCGTAATTCAAAAGTAGGTAGAGACAAATTAATGTGTTCATTAATACTTGCCGCCAAAAATAAATTTTCTGTCTGCGTGATGAATCAAAGTTATTCCCCATAAATTATGTGGTAACTACCCATTTCTTAGAATTACAAAATACCGTTAGGTCTAAACACAAGGCTGCTAAAGAGTTCACTGCTAGACTGATGTTTATAATGTTACAGATGTTAGCCCTACATTTAAGTAAGTTTGATTGTAATCTATCCAACGAGCATCTGTCTGTTGTATGTTCTAAGACAATAAATAAAGGTTTTTCGCTGTGTGTTACATAAGCTGCCTGAATCCTAACAATCTCCTCCATCCTGTTCACAAGGCGCGTTAATTTTGCACATGCTGTCCGGACCTCAGATGGCTGACAAAAAACAGACACCTCCTCACACATGTGCTCCAATTCGGGACAATCTTCCTCACACGGTAGTTGGGACTATGAGGGCCTCGAAGTTCTGAGCCTACAATAGTTGGAAAACTTCACTTTGAAATAATAAATGAATCCAACAATATAATGGCAAAACCGCTCTAGCCGCTACCATATTTGCTCGCACGTAACGTAAACGTTCCACTACAGTTACCTGAAAAACTGCACCAAAATTATTCTGCTCATATTCTAAAACAACGCAGAAACTTCGGATTCAAATTCATGTGATTCAAGCTTACTGTTGGTTATAGTCCAATTTTTATATCAATCACAGGCTTGAATCTATCTTCGAAAGACAAAATTAATGACAGAGACAAATTGCCTACCCTTGGGACATTGAACCTGTATTTCCCCTGCAGTGGTGAGGCAAAGCAAATGGCTTGACTATTGTAAACACTGAAACAAAAGACGAAAGAAAGAAAAGTAACGCCTACACAAATCAAATTTAATTAAAGAACGGATTGCCAGTACCCCTGTTATTATAGAACGCATCTGTTGTAATGATGAATGCGTTGCGGTCGGAAATAAAAAGCGTTGGAGAAACCTGCGCCGGCGCAAGCGAGGGCGGCACGTGGGCCGGCAGATGCGCGAGACTATCCCGAGGCCGTCTCGAATCTGTTAGGGATGTATTTATTTGTATTCCAGACGATTTTGGATTGTTATGACTCGATTGTTAAGCTTGAACCCCAAATTGAATCCATCCGTCAGTTTGATCACCCTTCGATGAGTCTTTGATCGAGAAACTTGAAGCAAAGCAGTCAATGCGAATGATGCAAACTTACTTGTAGGAGGCGTTTATGGTGTCACAGACGATCTTGATATAACGGCATTGGAAAATAATAATAAAAATTCAGTAAGCATTAAATTTAAATCACAGGCAGTTCACATCACTACCACGAGCACGATCTTTTATCTTACAATCGCTAACCTCGCGTGCAGTCGCGATTTAAGCTTCATTATTCCGCCGTTAACTTATAAGGCACTCGATATTATCTGTATTTACTTATAGCCCTTTAAAATATTGCCACCCAAAAATTACGAGATTTAAATTTAAGATGACTTTCCTTTATTTATTTTCGTATTCTTTAATCAACGCCAAGATGTTTCGGAAAGCAATTTGTAACAGATGTTCATACAAATTGCAATCGTTATCCAGATTGTGATCTCTCAGAAATAGGTTTCTAAGTTCCAAAGAGGTCAAGTCCGGTTCGAAGGGCCGAGTTTTTCCGCCGATGATCGGTGCCAACTCGTAGACTGATCGCCTTTTACGGCAACCTGCGCCGGTACGAGTATTGACAACTGTGGGATAGCCGACATGGACTCGACCTGAGATAACTATCTCTGTTTCCATAATTTCTCTGTCCTTATCCGTGCTGCGATTAAACGCATTCTAATCATGAATAGGAAACCTTTTTCGTCGAAGCGCAGATAAGAAAGCTTTAACGTCTTTTTATGTTGCGAAATCACAAGGCGGTAAAACCACACTCGGTCGTTGAGGCACCAGTAAAACAAAGTATAACAAGGTTCGCAAGCAGAAACGTGTAATACAATACTTACATTTGAAACGCATTGGAGGTAACAAGCCGTGTAAACACATTGTAAACTCAACGCAAACAGTGAAGCAAAACGTGTACAAACTCCAGTTTGAGTAATCGCGAATAGCGCTATATGAATATTAATATGCTCGGGAAGCGTGTAAATACTAAACACTAAACTAGCAATTTGCTCGTTTGACGTGTGAAGGTTGCTCGCAAATTAATTTTGTTATTTAAAAAGAATGAATGACTCTGACGGGTTGCAATCAAACCTAGACATTGATAGAAAATAACCATTTAACGGCAATAGAAACTGGTATTGTTACAGCAAAAACTATTTAAGTTAATGCGCTCTTGATAAGTATCAAATTGTAGAACACAAACAAATGTTACATTACATTTGTTTGTGTTCGTCAGTAGAGCGAGCAATTGCACCCTTTATCGAGTCGACCAATCAGGAAACATGCATAGCATTACATATTTTATGAAACAGGGTAAATTACTAAAACATTATGCAATTTGGGAATAATTATATGAGGTAATGCATCAAAATGTGGCACGTACCAAACCACCTGCCTGACAGCTGCCGAATTCGAAGCTGCCCAAAATGTGCGCGATGCATCAGCAGATGTTACTAAATCGCTTTTGTGGATCCAGGTGGGCTGCTTTAATAAGACATCTGAATAAGCCATGATGCGTCGATAAAAAAGTACATCAGTTTGAAAGAAATCAGGATACGACTTTTTGTTAAGCTTTTTACTCTCAAGGTCTCCAAAATAATGTTGTTGAGCAAAAAGTGTTATACTTCACATTGATTATTATTATATTATACAGATGTAATTCCATTATACCTACTCTATCTCTCTTGAGCTATTATTTTATTCACAGCCTACTCCAAATTCTCGTTCCGTAACAATTTGCTTCAGGAATCTTGACGAATTAATTTGTTATGTCGAAATTAATTTCAGTGACCGAAAATGGAGCCTCTTAGCAGGAAGTGCGGTAGACGAGCCCGTTTCTAATATAATTAATCTTAGCCCACCTTTAATCCTCCATTTTACTCTTGAAGTAAGTAATTGAATAAGCTTGAGTTCAAAGCTCTTAGTATTACGTCATCTGCGAGCATTTTGATAATGACGTATCACTTTTGTTTTCGCTTTCGCAATTTAATCAACGTCGATCCGATGATCAGGCTGCAATGGCGGCTATAAATAGTGAACCCACATCTGACACCCACATTAAGGTATCTAATCGTCGAATCTATCAGGTAGAAGTAATATTACGTCTCCGACAGTCTCAAGAGGAAATAGAGCTGAGAATAAATCGCCCTTACCTCGAACTTGTACTAAAATAGTCGAACACTCTACGCCTTCCATTTCTCTGCCTCCATTACCATATCCTGTGCTCCAATATGTTAGTCACGGAGCGCGTGCCCGTTGAACTACGTTAACCTTTTAGGGGCATACCAGACTTGCTACTTTTAGTATAGGTTTTGTGTCTATATTGACTGCATTACGTTTTGACAACACTGTACACGTATTAAGATCTTTTGTGATCGAGAAGTCATCGTTCAGAGCTTCTATTGCGACTCATTTGCTGTCACAGGAATTTAAACATCATGTAGTTTCCTCACTGCATTTGTCCTAATACTTGCTAAACTAACTATAGATGATCACCTATGATGAAAGTGGCATATTATTCTTTCTATCTCCGAAGATTTAAAAACATTATAAGCCTATAATACCTGTAGTATCTGTATGTAATGTACCTATCTGTAGTATTTAATGTTATTGTACAGTGATAGTTTGTCTCGGCAATACATTAGAATGAAACCGTTAAATTGAGATGGATAACTTTAAGATGGGATAAGACGAGGACCCAGGTGCGCGCTTGAAGAATCCTTTCGTAAATTACCGTAATTTAATAGTCACGATAATACACCTGCAAACAGTGGCCAAATTAATTGAGAACGGTAAATCTTTAGCGTGTGTTTAATGAAAAAACTACGAGAATTATTATATCATTTATAATATTATGTACATTATTATGGCTATATAACGGTTAATTACAGCACTGAAGGTAATTTACTTCACGGCAGAGCGTTACAATATTGCTATTATATGGCATGACTTGGACATTGTGGCCTGACGGGGGGCGGACCCGATGACATTACATCGTTAATCACTCCCATTGCGGCCAAAGAAAATTTTGATTTTCAATTTGAATTGCCGCGGTGATTACCAAATCCTACACCGGTGATGAATGACGCTGTTAATGAAGGGTTGACGTGCCGTGTCGTTCGACAGTGGGACCGGATGGTGATGCCTCTGATGTATGCTCCGCAACCAGGCCTCCGGATGTGGATCGTTTTAGGGATCCTTAAGGACTAAAATTAGATAATATTCTCTGTGGCAATTTACTAAGTTGTGTATTGTGTACTAGAA